GTTTCGCAACCCTGCTCCAAAGCAGGGTCAGCCAGAGTTACTACCTTAGATCATACACTCACTACCACAGAATTACTCACGATTCATGTATTTCTAAGGTCAATTCAGATATTATTTGATTTCATCAATTGAACAAGAAGTGAATTATGTTGAATAGCATTAGTTTGATGATGAAAATACACCAACATCATGAGCAGAAGCAATATTCATCATTTATAGAACAATAATAACGTGTATCTTCAAAGAGTTCAGTGGTATGTGTTTAAAGATATGGAGAAATTGATCAGAAAATATTGATATCGCATAGCAAACTGAAAAAATTGCATACGTGAGAAATCAAGAAGTTCTATTCGAAGAGGTATAAAGCTAACTCAATAAAATAGTAACCTGATAAGTTCGTAAACTATAGTATTAGGATAAGTGATCCGACTGATCCATCACGTGACCCGTTCAGATCGAGTCAACAACCCAGAGTAAGTTTCCGAAAACGCCTAAAGTCTATAAAGGTTTTGCGTCGTGTAAAGCTAGTTACAGAGCATTTCGAAAGATTCAAGTACATTTTATCAAGTTTTAGCCAGTCAGTCACAGAATTAATATCTTTCTGCTGGATAGAGCAATCTGTAGTGCTATGTATGGTTTTGAAAATTTTAAAATCGTCAGCAAAAATTAAACTAGATGAGTTTTCTACACTTTGTGGTAAATCGTTTTTGAACATTATAAAAAGAAGTGGTCCTAGATTACTGCATTGGGGTACACCTGATGTAGCAACAAAGCTATTTGATAAAGTTGACCCAATTTTTACTTTTTGGTGTCTTGAGGAAAGATATGATTTTATGAAATTATATGTGTTTTTTGATAGATTAAAGCTTGGAAGTTTATTCAGCAATATTTGGTGATCAACTTTATCAAATGCCTTTGCACAGTCCGTAAATATGGCATCCATCTGCTGTTTCTTTTTGTCAAATATAGTTATATATTCACCATGTTCTCTGCTATAAACAAAAGTTGTTTCTTAAGAATAATAAAGTTGATTGATTGATTGATTTCATCATAATTGAATAATGGATGAAGGATAATCCAAAATAAATGAATAGCTGTGAAGTCACTAGCACCTGTACTGAAAAAAAAGGGGGGGTGGATTAGTGAATAATGGAACTCCCTGGTTTTTAGTACCAACGCCAGTGACTCACTAGATATTTCCTTTGAGCTAATCATTATTTTTTCCTTAAAAAAAAAACAATAATATGATTCGTTTTAGAAATAATTAGAAAAGTACTAGTTCCTAAGTGGCGAATAACTAATCAAGGACCGGTAGTTCTTATCTCTAGAATGCGAAATTTTTTAAAATATTGTAAAGTGACAAGCAGTGATCCAAAATGAATGATTATCACGAAAAAACTAGCTGGGCTGGAAAGTTACTGGTGTAGATAGTGAAAACAAAACAACCTAAAACAACAACCAGACTTTTAAACAAATCTTTGATGGCGTGTATGTCAATTCTTCCCAAACTAGCTTTGTCAGAAAAGTATCTAATATGTGGAAATGTCGAGATTTGGAGTCTCAGAGTGCAGAAATCGAAGAATCCGTCAACAATGTGTATGTACATACGTATTCAGTAAATTGTGGTACCAAATAACACTGAAGGTTTTTTTGGGTCGAAGTGAACTTGACATTTACAATTTATAATAATTGTTGCCTTCAGGAAATTTAACTCAAAAAATCACCAGAAAAAACTTTCGTCCTACGGGCTCGTTATTTTTTCAAAATCAATTTTTTTCATTAAATTTTCAAGCAGAAAAATTCTCATTGAAATGTGAAGTTTACTTCGACATAAAAAGCTCTCGTGTAATTATGAGTGAAAATAACAACACAGACACAGATTCATGCAAAACATGCACTATGCTATAACATGGTGGACAAAAACTGAACAAACTCATTTTGGATATCCGCACCCTATATCATCAAGTAATGATAAGTTTCCGGCTGATAATTTTTTTTTAAAGTAAACTGGTTTCATCCAGTTTCCAAATCCAATATTATAAAAAATACTAGTCCGATTGTAGAACAATTTGTTCCATGTTGTGTAATATTATGTCGAGAATTAAAGTTTGTGTTTTGAGATCTACAGAAAGAAACAATCCAATAATATTTCCTTATGATTGGGATAACTTTGAAAATGTTTATTTTTGTAATCAGCTCCATGTTTTTCCTTGTAGATCTGAAAATACAAACTCCATGGACAGAATAGGTGAACCATCTCATTCTCAAACGATTATTACATAACATTTCAGAATCAGACTAGTATTTTTTATATTTGTTTTCAAATTTGGATGGAATATTCAGGTGAACCACTTTACTTGCCGAGCAGTTTAAATTTTGATTGAAAAGTCTGAACAATAGTTATTTATTATACAAGGAAAAAAGTAGTAGATTTTAGATCCCGGTTGTGTTGTCAAAAAACCGTGAGCTAAAATCTAATATTTGTCCCGTGTATAATACACTATTTTTTTCTGTGACAGAAGAAAGGACCAATCAATATTGAGAAGATATTACATTATTTTGAAATCTGAAAATTATCGACGTGAAATTTTAAGTTTTCAAGAGTAGGGACACCTGCGTTGTCGGCATCCTTATCATTCTTTTGAAGTAATGCAATATCTGATGTCACTTCTGTCAGTATAATTCTGTGATTTGATTTCAAAAAATTGCGAATTTAGTGGTTGTTTAGTAATATATGTAACCGCGAAGTAGAATGGAAGATGGAAGGACTTGCAGTTCTTTCTCGGAGACGGTATTATTGACTCATTTTTCGAAACTATAGCACAACAAAAGCCATCAACAGTGTATACAGGGTAACTCACGGTCGATGGTACGTTAGACGTTTATGGAAAACGGGACATAGGATCATTCTGAAATTTTGGTTACTCACGTAGTTGCTCTTGGTCTATCGATCTGAAATATTTTCAGCTCTGCGGCGTTGCCGCTTCTATCGAAAAGTAGCAACAACTTTGTTATTTTAAATTGAACACCCTGTATTTTATTGCATTTTCAGATTCTCTCTGAAGAGCTGATATCATACTTGGGGTCTAGCGGAAATGATTACAGAGATATAGGGTGTGAAAAATCGACATTTTTTAACTTTATGAATTTTTTTTTGTCAAAACTATTCATTATTGCTCAAAACGGCTCACATGTCCCTATCTCAACTTTTGATCAACTATCTACTGACATTTAATTGAAACAAATACAGGGTCGTGCAGAATTCAGAATCTTGATCACCCGGTATATGTCCCAATTAAATATCATTAGATAGTTAATCAAAAGTTGAGATAGGGACATGTGAGCCGTTTTGAGCAATAATGAATAGTTTTGACAAAAAAAAATTCATAAAGTTGAAAAATGTCGATTTTTCACACCCTATATCTCTGTAATCATTTCCGCTAGACCCCAAGTGTGATACATCGATGAAATCAGCTCTTCAGAGAGAATCTGAAAATGCAATTAAATACAGGGTGTTCCATTAAAAATAACAAAGTTGTTGCTACTTTTCGATAGAAGCGGCAACGCCGCAGAGCTGAAAATATTTTAGATCGATAGACCAAGAGCAACTACGTGAGTAACCAAAATTTCAGAATGATCCTATGTCCCGTTCTCCATAAACGTCTAACGTACCATCGACCGTGAGTTACCCTGTATATATGTGATATATATCCGGGAAAAAAGTACTCACTTTTTTCCTACGGGAAAAAAGTTATTTATGAAAAGTGACATTTTATAACCTGCCAACAGAGATAATAATAATAATAATGAACTCGAGGAACACCTTCCTTGGCAATGTGTTCCAGAACCTCGCTGTTCGTTGGATGAACGAGTCTTTGGAAAGAGATGTTCTGCAGGTCTCCAAAGTGACCACTAAGGGGTGCGAAGCCTCAACTCGACGGGTTAATCTCGCGGGGACTGCCAAGGGAGGTAGAAATTGTTGATATTTCAGAAGAGCATCGTCCATGAAAATATATATAAAAAAGAGCCAGATCGCCAACTTTTCTACGGTGTTTCAGAGTTCAGAGAAGTGGGTGAGTGTGAGCGAGGCATCACCCACGAAACGAATTGCCCTTTTTTGGACAGAATCCAACAGTTTCAGGGTATTCTTGGGTGCTGCACTCCAAATATGGGAACAGTATTCCAGGACAAGTGAAATAGCTCCTGGCCCGAAACAGAAAACCAAGTTCTTGGGATGCACTTTTAGCGATTGATCTCACGTGATTTTCCCAAGAAAGGTTATTGTGATAGTAATACCAAGCATTGAAATGGATATCTTCAAAGGTATGGTTACTCCTGACAAGCTCATGTTGGGCAAATTGAGATCGGCTTTTCTAGAGAAAAGGCATGCTTGTGTTTTGTTTGCATTGAAATCTACCAAGTTATTGGATCCCCACTCGAGAATTGTTGCTAAGTCCATATTTATGTTGTCAACAATTCTCCCTCGTTCGTTTCTGATTTGCCTGGCTGGCATTGGAGCTCTGGAAGAGAAGTTGGTATGGAGGGTACTATCGTCCGCGAAGCTGTGTACTAGACATGAAGTTGCTTCCAACAAATCGTTGATATGGAGTAGAAATAGTGTTGGTGCTAGAATTGATCCTTGCGGAACACCAGCATTTATGGTAAGAGAGTCAGATGAAACTCCGTCGACCACTACATGGAGAGACCTGTTTGAGAGAAAACTAGCTAGCAGAGAACATAGCTGGGGAGGCAAGCCATAAGATGGAAGCTTGGCGAGAAGTCCGTGCTGCCAGACTCGATCGAATGCTTTGGAGATATCAAGTGACACGGCTAAGGTTTCACCATATTTTTCAATAGATTGCTTTATTTATTATAGTTGTGTGACCCCTAGACCCTTTCGTAGTTTATAGCAAAGAATGAAATAAATATATTATTATTATTATTATTGAATGTGTTCGTTTTTGCCCACTCAATCCTTATGCATATTGATTTTTTTGAACCTGGTCTCCTAGGCTTCGGTGTCGGTGAAGGCGACGGCGGTTCGCTGTCCAAGGAGCTAGTGTTAGAGTTGTAGCGCATGCGCTCCGGTTTACCTTTTTTGGCGGGCGATTCGGCGACGACGTTAGTGGGGGACTGCCTGGTCTGCGGCGGGTAAGGGGAGAGGATCAGGCTGCTTATGAACTCGCCGACCTCGTCCTGAAAGAAACGGAATATGCAAGATGAGTTAGAATAGGACAGACAAACTCTGTATCTTTACAGTTCGGGACATTAAGTTAGCATAAACTAAATCCATTTTCGCGATCCGAGCATCACCTGTGATGGAGTGTCGTAGGTCAAGATATCGTGACATGCGCGACAATACACACACAGCAGGATTGCTTAGAATACCTAGACACTTCGACTCGCCGTATTTTTTGTGAATAACGCACATTTTTTGGTGTTAACGTCGACCTTCGGGATTTTCGACACACTTTCCATATTAACATTTTCTGGTGTTAGGTGATTAATAAACATTGAAAATATCGGGAAAATCCACTCGGGGTGCCGGTTTTGTCAATGGTGGAACCAAGGAGCCATCTTAGTATCAACCGGCAGGAATTTACGAAGAGCCGACCTACAGGTATTTATCCATTCATAAGTGATGCTCTCGATATTTGTTATTGTTTCAATAATGAATACAGTCCACCGCCTAGTAGCATTTTCTCCAATCGACATATAATTGGGAAAACACATTTACCTCATTTTGAAGTGAAAAGTTTCTATCAACGTATGTCCTGAAATGCATCCCACAGAACTCATAATACTGTAAGTAGGTTAATCGAGGAGGTGGTACATTCTTTTTACTTGATTTTTTGGGATTTCCTCTTCTCGTTTCTATAAAATCAAAATATTCTCATCATTTCACGTTGCACTTCAAGACAGAAATCAATATAAACTGTTCACCTTGAGAAAACATGTAAATAAAAAGTGAGTTTGTCGACCTAACTTGACACACCCGTACTATATGTTTAAAAATGTTCTAAGCATTCTGAAAATGCAATAAAATACAGGGTGTTCCAACAACGTTGCTAGTTGTTTCTGATAGAAGTGGCAACACTGTATCGATGAAAATATTTCAGATGGATAGAGAATGTTCAATTATCAAAGCATCCCAATTTTCAGAATATTCTGTCTTTTCGTTCTCTAGATACTTCTAATAGGCCATCCACCGTGGATCACCCTGTATTTGAAGGAAAATACGTCAACATACAACCGCGTCCGGAAATCGATCGATTGATTAATCTGGAACAGTGTATACCAAATTTAAATTCATTTCCTCCAGGGGTACCAAAGAAATTAATGTAAAACTTGATTGTTTTTCCTACTTTTGACACCCTGTATTTCAGAACGGATGCATTTTAGGACATACGAGGCACTTTTCACTCCAAAATGAGGCAACGAATCGGTATACGATTTTGGCTTTCCCATTTTCGATGTCTTTACGCAATATCTAACTTATTTTCGAAGAGAAGTGATTTGCGGTATCCACGAACGTTGGCTACCTCTTTGTAAAACTCACGATACCGCAAATAAATTGTTCATACCACGCTCCGTTTTTGAGATACAGGGCGAAATGGAAAATGTTGCATTTGGACCCCCCCTCCCTTTCTGTATCCCAGTTATCTTTCAACTTATTAAAAGTAAAAACTGCCGCTTGTACATTTTTCAACGTAGAATCCATTGGCGTAGTGAGATTTTTAAAATAATCTGTTACACTCTGTACATTCTTTCATATTTAAAACATTCGTGTTTTGTGCTTTTCAAAAATATATAACAGAACATGTATTCAGATAATTTCCAGTTTTTTAGTAGAATGTTATTTGATGGGTCTTGTGAATATGTGGCACAAATTTTTATATTTACCTTGTTGCTGACACAGTGTTTCGTCACACACTATATGCCGGGTGTCAAAGAATCTATTAGACAAGCCATTACTTCTAGAATATCGGATTTATCAAAACGAAATTCAATATTTTTGCAAATTTTTCACTTCCCGATCATTTCCAGTTTGACCGGAAATTGCTCCGGTTTTGAGTTTTTAAATGGAACATCCTGTATATCGTAACATTTTTGTATTCTGGATCAGAATATGACATTTCCAGAAGTTTTCACACGTACTTAATTTTTTAGGGTCACAATCAATATTGCATCTAGGTATATTATGAATATGAAAAGAAAAATGGATCTACTTGATAAAAATATGACTTCTTTATCGGTATATTCAACAGAAAACAACTACTTTCCTGGCTAATACCGAATAATATAGAATTATATCTGTTATGTATCAAGAAATAATATATCACGTTATATTCTTATATTTCTTCTTATGTTTCTTATATTCTTATTCTTCTCTATAACATTTATGGAAAAATATTCAGAATCAATTGAAATTAAATTACTGATGAAAATATCTTCTATGGAAATATTTGATTTACCGAAAAACAACCATATCCGTGATGCCATTCTGAAAACAAATTCCACTTGTGATATGTCACTTCGTTCAGAACTACTGAAAACATAATCGCATTTTATACAATTCGAACTTCATCTTCAAAGTTAGAAATCTCAAACTTCCTGCACAATTACAAATCGTGTCAGTTCAACAAAATAATCCTAACTGTTAAACCGACACTCTCTGTATTTATGCAACAAGTTTTGAAGTACTCTTTACTCATAGTATTACTACTGAATATAGTATTGCTTCAAAATCAACAGCTGAAGTTGAATATAATTAACAAACTCACAGCATTGGTATGGAAATGATATGTTCGAATATACAGTGCTTTTTCAATGTCTCCTCTTTCATTTTTTGAACAGGTCAACTGGAAAAACTGAAACTTGGAGTAGTGAAATTGATGCATGAATAATATATTTTGGAGTGAAATTGACAGATGAAAATTTCAAAATGGCAACTTGGCGCCATCTGGGAAAAAAACTGAATGGAAATGGGGGTCTTGTAACACATCCTTTTGAAGCTCCTGGCGAATTCTCCATAACCCTATAATATAAAGTCAATATCTTCACCAACTACAAAATAGAGGAATATTTAATGGTTGCCTGAATACAAACATGTTGATATGGATATTGTATGCCAACAAGATGGAACACCACCATATCACTCCAGACAACTGTCTGGATAATACTTTCTCATGTCGTTAGATTTGCTGTCGAGGTCCTACGGAATGGCCGGCCCACTCGCCAGATTCGACACCTTCAGATTTTTCAATAGGGCTATTTGAAGCAAAAGGTTTATGAAACTGAACCTGCTTTAATATTGGATACACGACAAAGGAAGAAATAGTAGAAATATCGACGTAACTGTGTTCGAAAGTGTTTGACGTGAAGTATCGGATAAGCTGTCCTTATGTCAAGAAGTTCAAGGCAACCATTTTGAGCATCTTCTGAACTAAACTCAGCATATTTCCTCAAATTATGAAGCTAAACGTCGATGTATTCAGGCATTAATAAATGTTCCGCCATTTTGTAGTATGTGAAGATATTGACTTTATATTCTAGGATCGTGAAGTATTCGTCAGGAGCTTCAAAAGGATGTGAGCCCAGTCGTCATCTTGAAATAAATTTCTGTCGATTTTACTCCAAAATATAGTATTTATGCATCAATGTTATTATACCAAGTTTCATTTTTTTCAGTTGACGCGTACAAAAAATAAAAGGGAGGGGGGACATTGAAGAAAAGCACTTTCTTCAAAATATTTTGAGAGTCCTTGAGATAAGGCGAATATGGTCTGAATCTGATGATAACCTTGTTATTGTCGTATTTCAGAAATGTCATATTCGAAAGTGACGTCTGCTTTGTCGAAATTTCACTTCGCGTACTGTGTCGAGAACGCGCTTGATTGCACGAAATAGTTATGTATCAAGGCAGGGCCTTCTCTATCTCACCGGGTCGTAGTCTATCCCCCCTCTCTCGACGCTGACGTCACACTAGTAGGTTGAGATTTCACATCAGTCCGTACTGATGCGTTCGTAATTGATAGGCTATAGCTCATTTACTATGAATTTTAGAAACACACTCAATCGAGACGAAATGATCCCCAATAAATTCCCCAACTTTTGGTGAAAAAATTAATCCAATAGGATGAATCAATACCGAGTTATGACGATGTAACGAAATTCCATTTTATTGAAAATCAGGACGTTGTACTACAGAATACTATTTTTTGCAAATTGGGAACTGGAATTAGATGAAACTAACTCAATATATCAAACTAAGATAATGAATCAATTGAATAGTGAACAAATTGTAGAGTTACCTACTATGAGTCCGAAAGAAATCAAATATAGAGAGCGCGTAAAAAATGGGCCGAAAATTTCGCTGTATTACGATTTCGCGGTCATTCCTTAGACTGGTGAAGGGCGATATACTTTTTATTACTCATTTATTTCTAAATGGCGTATGGTTCAGACCAACTAATATTGGTGTCTGAAAAATTCGAAACAATATTTCTACAATGTAAGTCACAACATAAAGTTTTTGAGAATTTAGCAGAAATTAAAATCAATTCCCTTCTCAATTATTCCGAGAATCAATGTTGCAGTTGTGGGTCTTCTGATTTAATCAGCATTTCAAATATTCTGTTGAATAATTATTGCAAAATAAAAAAAAATTAAAAAAGAAAAATCACTAAACTTTCAGGATGAGATATAGTTCAGATTTCAATTTTTAGTTTGTGATTAAGATGATGTATATATATTTTTTGTTATTAGTGTATTTCATTTTGTGATATCTATAATTTTTTTTTTATTTTGTTATGTTGATTATTTTTACAGTTTATTTTGTTTGGTTTTGTTTGTGTATAAGGATTCAACGTTTTTTTTTCATTTTTTCCTTATTCATTCATATATGGGGTTGAGTTGAAAAACAGCTTTCTGCTGATACTCCGCCTATTCATCATTGCAGATAGGTATATAAGGTATGGAAAATTATATTTGTCTTTTGATTTTTATTTGTGCGATTTTTTCTGCAAATGGTGAATAAAGACGATTTATTATTATTATTATTATTATATCGTTGTTCTGGGTATTTTGTTATTCAGTTCGTTATATTCATTTTTATATCTCTCATTGTTGAGATACATAATTTTTCAATTATTTTTGTTAGGTTGTGTTCATATGAACTCCACATATTTTGTTAATTTTGAGAGTTTGCAAATATATTCAAATCAAATTTTTTTCATGAATTTAACGTTATCATTCAAATATATACTCTTCAGCAGAAAATAATTGATACCGAATAGGCGTTTTTGTGTAATAACAAACTCGAGTGATATGATTTCTAACGTCATGAAAGTGCGTCCTGATCATCTTTAGAGATAAACGCTGCCAAAACCCTTCGAGATGAAGTGGATGTGTATTATACCGATTTGTAGGCAATCAAACTTCCTACAAAAAAGTCAGTGACAGCATATATCCATAGTTGATAGGATTAGCATGGGAGGCGTCCGAACTTTTTGAACTATTCTGTAATGAACACCTGAATCATCGTTCTATTTGAATTGAAATATCCGTTTGTTGTTGGCCCTTGGTAATTAAAAAAAAACTCAGTCAATCTAGATACTATGCGAAGTCTTTTCATGGTTGAATAATTTCTGTGAATTGAATATTGGAATTTTGGTAGCTGTTTGAAAAAGGGCGATTCTGAATGGCGTCAATTAATTTTGATATGCCATATTTCTGAAATTAATGATCGTAAATCAGTAAAATTTGATTCATCTTCTGGAAAATTCTTTTCTGCACATATTTGACCTCTTGATATTTTTCGCTAACTGTGACCGTTTTCCCGAGGTAAATCAATGAAACGGGAGAGACAATTTCCACTGCGTTGATTTTGTCCCTACTAGTGTGACGTCACGAAAGCGATGCTCCGGCCCGGTGAGATAGAGTAGGCCCTGATCAAGGGCGTAAAGTAGGATTTTATGGACCGCAGTGATAGCAAGTAACGTCCAAAATACATACAACATTTTATGCACGACCGTTTTTGACATTTATTTACTGTCAATATGGAAATTATTAATAATTTTGAATTTATTTGCCCCAATTATGTAAGCGACTGGGAAACAAAAATTGAATGATAGTATACTAAAAGGTCACTCCAAATTTCAACAACTTATCTCTATAAATTGAAAGAGAAAAAGGGGGTGTACCATGATCCTGTAACATCCCTTTTATGCCTAAATGTGGAATAATCAAACATTTGTTTGTAACTGGAAATTAAGAGACGATAGCAAATTTTTGTTTTCACTAGTGAAAAAACGAGAATGTCACTTCCATTTTTAAGAATAATGCAATTTACCAACCCTGTACATTAATTTTGTGAGAGCACTGGAAGTTATGAAAGCAAAAAACTTACGACAATACACCTGTCCACAATACTTTGCGATATTCCTTCAGCTTTTTTCTTCTTTTTGGTAATTCTCAACATGTCATCTGCAGAACCAACTACAATGAGCCCAGTTTCAACTCTCATTCTTTCTCTTAAATCTTCCACATTTTCTTGCCTGCAAAAATAAACAAATTAAGTGTGTCATCTCCACAACACCATATGTTTAAACGTCAAGGTACATGTTTCGGTCTCTTAGAGTCTATCATCAACCGTATAAATGTTCATTCCGGACATTTTTAATAAAGAGTTGAACATACAGGGTGATGCACGTTTCAGTTATCACGTCCGCGATGATTTTTTCAGATGAAACACTTTATATATTGTGAGCTAGGCATTAGTATTACACTGTGATAATGCATAGAACTAAATATGCCAGTTGTCAGGATGTGACGTAAGGGAGAGGGGATTTGGAACAGGCAATTGGGTAATTCCATGTCAAAATATAGACCACGTTATAGTACATGAGATTTCATTCATTTTAATAATTGAAACTTTAAATAAAATTATGTAACATGGTAACAGTGGTTAGTGGCACCACAAAAATAATAACGTCAGTAAACTAGCCCTAACAAAAACAAGTATTGAAAAGGAGAAAGAAAGTAGGTCAAACCACCCAAACACTTCACTGTTGCTGACAACACAGCCATGGAATAAGAGAAATGGTGTCAATCCTTTGAAACTTTTGTGGAAGTTGCCGAGCTTGGTACAAAACTAATATCCCAGCAGAGAGCAATACTCTTACATGAGATTGGGCCTACAGGACTAGAAATGTACAGTACATTACAGTTTGTTGATGCGAATAACGTACAACTTCAAGGCGATGCAATAACTGTGCCATTGATTTTTTTTTATGTTCTGGTTCCCACGAAAAGGGATATCCTGTAATGTTCAGAGAACAAGGTGAGGACCAAAAGAAATAATGTAGGAATTGATGTTCTTCTTGAACTCCTGGAGGTAATATGCCTCGGGAAAGACCTCCCTTGGCAATGTGTTTCAGAGTCTCTCTGTTCGCTGGATGAACGAGTCTTTGGAAAGAGATGTTCTGTAGATCTCCAAAGTGACCACGAAGAGATGCGAAGCCTCAACTCGACGGGTTAATCTCGCAGGGACTGCCAAGGGAGGAACAATTGTTGATATTTCAGAAGAGCATCGTGCATGAAAATATCTATAAAATAGAGCCAGATCGCCAACTTTTCTACGTTGTTCCAGAGAAGTGAGTGAGTTTGTGAGAGAGGCATCACCCACGAGACGAATTGCCCTTTTTTGGACAGAATCCAACAGTTTCAGGGTGTGTTTGGGTGCTGCATTCCAAATGCACTTTCAGCAATTGATCTAGAATTTACGCAAAATTGTTGCTTTGTGATTCATCCCGATGTTGGATTGTTGCTTTGTGCTTCATCCCGATGTAGGTTAACGTTATTATCAAGTAATTTCACAGATCAAAGATATATCATAATAAAAATTGATGAAGAAATGTATTCAGAAGCAGAGGAGATGATTTCAGTCAAATGATCCAAACTAGGTTAAAAGAATCCACCCTGCGAAATAAATGTAATCAAATGAAGAAAATATGAATTTTTTAATTATAATGATTGTGTACCTTAGAGTCACTGGATGGTATTAGTTTGATAAGAGTTCGGACACAGCTGAACTTTTGTCCTTTTCTATTTTCTATAATACAATGGTTTAGGTGAATAAAAGAATAAGACATATATTCGGCTCTTTGTCATTTCAATTTCCCTAGTAGTGCCTGATTGTCAGATACGATTTTAGAGGTTATATTTTCTGTCAAATCAATCATAGCCGTAGATGGGCAACGGGTATAGGGTACAAACACCCAATTCAATTTATAGTGATACACTTCTAATAGAACAACTGTTATATAAATGAAAAGAATGCATGTAAGAACATTTTAATATTAGAAAATATACACATATGGATGAACTTATAGCTATAATTCCTTATTATATGTGAAACTGTACTCCAGTGATGAGTATAAAACATGATAGATAGATATTCTCAATATACAGGAAGTAACATAAGTACTTTCAAGTGAAGTATTCCTGAGACAATTAATTATAAGAAATGAAGTTTATATAAGCTTTTGTGTCCGGAAATGCATCATTTCGTAGATACAGAGTGCTGAAATACAAAGAACAAATCATTTTTCGATAAACATTTGATAGAAAAAAAGTAGTTTATTTTGACGAGACCTACCAAATACTTGGTTTTGTAAAGTTCTCAGCAACTCCACTCAGCGCCCTAGGAGCTAATGAGTAACATAGATCGATATAGGAAATATCTCCAAAACATTATATAACCTCCAGCATAATTGATTCCCTTGATACATAAATAACTATTCACTGTCCACTATTGAATTTTAAATTTGGTCGGCACCAAAAACGCCATTCAATAATATATCACTATGTAGTTTACTTGCTTTTCTTAGTTTCGTTTTCAAATTCTCAATTTCATTATGTAATTTTGCGATCATTTCCTCTTTTCCATGATCATTTCGTTTTGTATTTTGTGTTATGATAATAATGGAGATTTGTTCTCGAAATCGCCTGCTTTGTAAATTGATGGAACAGCAGATTCTCACAAACAGAATTTGAAATCTTCTGTTTGAAGATGGGCCTAAAATATAGTTTAATTCTGATCAGATGCTGTTATAAAAAGTGAATTTTAATGAGTACCTCACAAATTTCGCTCGTCTTCAAATTGATTTTGCACCCATCAGGCCATTTCATATCTTCCTTCCATAAGCGAATGATTGATATTTGTTTCGGAAAATTGAATAATTGATATCCATTTTCTTCAGAATTGGCACAATTTATTACACAGCAAGTAATTTCCATAGCTGCTTTCATCTCGAATGTATAATTATGAAATTTTATTTCGATTCTGACGTTTATAAAATGTATTGTCAAATTCAAACAATTTTGAATGAAAAAGCGCGGGACGACTATGGTGCTCTTGTCACAATGCAAGGTGTGAAACTTAATAAATCTAAACACTCAAAAACCCTAACCGTTGTCATTTCTGTGTCCGAACTCTTATCAAACTAATAACATCCAGTGACTCTAGTGTACCTGTAGTCTAGTCTTTTTGTACGCTGCCCGCTCCCTGCTCCCTGATTCCCCAATTTTGAGGTTATAAAAATAACAACAACACATTTCATGAATACTGTGTGGTTATGGTTCCATCAGAATCCGTGAAAAAGTTTAAATATTTCAACTTCATTGCGATATTTTCAGCCGCCATTTAATTCGCATAAATTCAGCAAGGATGAACAAACCTTTAGATCCGAGCTGTAGCTATCTCTCTCTGATACCTTGTCATTAAATAGTGTGATTGGTCAGCTCAAGAACAATAGGGGTGTTGGGACTGATACGTCACACCAGAAATGTATACTCACGTTGCAGTGCTGGAACACTGGCCGATGACAAACAGCACGGGACATTGCAGCTCCAACAGATTATCGTCGGGTTCGCCTCGAACGCCCTCTGCCGTCCAAACCGAGAAGCCCGCGCTAACGACGCACAACACCGACTCGACTTGGGCTATTTGCAGAGCCAAAGTGGCCCCGCTGCGGAAACCGAATAGGACGATGTGTCTGCCGGGGTACTCGTTCCGTACGTCTTGGATTTTGCCTTTTGTGACGGAGAATATTTGGTCTAGAATATTGGGCATTCCCATCCGGTGACTCGAAGAACCTGGAATTAGGAAGACTTTTAGACGATTCAGGCCACTCCCTTTACTGAACTGCTAGTAGTAGGAAATGCAGAAACACGTCAACATTGTGCACTAATGACAACTTCAACACTGGAGCAGTGCTGCCAATGCAATTCGAATCCTTCCTTCTCTTTAGCACGTGAAATCTTCCGCAAATGAACGAGTCGAAAACCTCCTCTTCTCGACACGGTTATAAAAGGTATGAAATGAAACGGAATCTGACGTCACATAAATGTTCAATATGTCATTCTCGTCGAAAAGTATTCCGTGAAACGCGTGAAAAAAATTAAGCTGTGACATTGTGGGCTCTTCTGGTCTCTGCTCTGGTGTTTTCTCTGTTCTGTGGATAAAATGCTTTTTTCAAAATACACCTTTTGAATCTTGAATGAAAAACATGATTGATAAATTGAATTATTTATTTTCGAACAATCATATGCCTACATGTGAAACAAACAAAAAAATAAATGAATAAACAAACATACTCATTTGTTAAAAAAAGTTTTTATTGAATTACTTATTTTTCCAAACACTGGTTTTGAGCATATACATTTTTTCAGTGGGATTACCTTACTGGCTCCGTATTTAGCGAGAGACATGATGCCAATGAGCCAATGATTAATGAAAATACAACTGGAAATATTCAAAAAATCTCTTATTTTTATTTTATATCATTATTCTTTAGTTGTTGTTTGTGTTGTCACAGTGTAAAAGAGATTTATACTGATTACTACAGTGTGTCTGTAACGAAGAAAATTTGATCCAGAATACTGGGCATTTCAATTCGGTGAGTTGAACCTGGAATTGGGGATGCCAGGTCGAGAATGGAATAAGCGACTTGACATGAAAAAGCGGTAGATAGATTTTGAAATAAAAAGGTAGATATGGTTTGAAAATTGCATTTTTTGCCGACAACTAGTGGTTTACTGGTTACGTAACTATGTAGGCAATTAACAGAAGTGAAGAGAAACATGAAAACATAATTTGTCGTGTAAGAACTAGCTCGAAATCATAAAGCTTCTGAAAAGATAACTCTGACAAACAATCAGTAACATTCTGTAGTAGCCACGAATCTTATGAATTCACCGAATACCGACGTTTCTTAAGGGATTCACCGACCGAAGTTAAGCATCCAAATCGCTGTCAGCGATGAACTTAGTGTGGTTATTCGAATCAATAATTTGTAATATTTTCGTGGATATTATACAGGGTGTCCCTGAAAGGTCTGTACAAAATCTTAGCACATATTCCTGAGGTCAATATAAGCCGATTTGAAGCAACCGAGGTACTCTTTCCGTACGTTTTGGATTTTGCCCTTTGTGACAGAGAATATTTGGTCTTGAATATTGGGCATTCCCATCCGGTTACTTGAAGAACCTGGAATTAGGAAGACTTTTACACGATTCAGGCCACTCACTTTATTGGACTCTTAGTACCTAGTAAACGCAGAAACACGTCAACATTGCGCACTAATGACAACTCCAACACTGGAGTGTCTGTAACGAAGAAAATTTGATCTAGAATACTGGGCATTCCCATCCGGCGACTTGAAGAACATAGAATTGGGGATGCGAGAATGGGATAAGCTGTATACTTGACATAAAAAGCGGTAAGTAGATTTTGAAATAAAAAGGTAGATATAGTTTGAAAATTGCATTTTTTGCCGACTACTAATGGTTTAGTGGTTACGTAAATAACTAGGCAGGCAATTAACAGAAGTGAAGAGAAACATTGAATAATAATTTGTCTTGTATGAATCAACTTAAAATCATAAAGCTTCAGCAAAGAAGAAGAGAAGATAACTCGGACAAAAAATCAGTGGAATTGTGTAGTAGCCACGAATCTTATGAATTCACCGAATACCGACGTTTCTCAAGGGATTCACCGACCGAAGTCAAACATTGCAAGTCTTGGATTTTCCACTTTGTAACAAGGAAAATTTTATCTAGAATACTGGGCATTCCCATCCTGTGACTTGAAGAATTAGGAATGCTTTGTGATGTTATACTTATATATGCAAGGTGTTTTTGAAATAAGTGCACATATTCAGCACATTAATATGATACAGTCTAAGGAATATGCCCATGATATCAGATTTTTTCTAATTCTTTTAATTAACGAGAAATTTCATCCGAAAAATTGAACAGAATACGAGAAAAAATCAAGTACGCCACTTTAAAACGAATTAAATGATTGAACTCCGCGTGATTGTGCCTACCGCATGAATAATTCAACAGAGATTTGCTACAGTGTAGAACTTTGGGTGGAAAAAGGGGTCGACCTCAAATTTTATTTCGATCCCTAATTTGTTTTTATTAGTGCCATCCGATAGTACATGTCGAGCTTCCTCAGTGTTTGAAATACTCGCACTTATTTCAATGCCACCCTACTCATTTTGTAACAATAATTCAAACAGAGCGTGATTTACTAACGATTAATAATAACATAAGTAATTATAATAATGAATAAGTGTCAAAATATTTTCCAGTAGATTATGAAACGTTTCCGTAGATCAATATTAAACAAATTAGGAGATCTACTGAAAATTCAGTAGAACTGGCAACCCTGCAGCGGAAGAAAAGTTAGTGTCTGCGGACGAAAAGCACTTGCCTTCGGAAATAGTAGATTTTTCGTTCGGAAATGGAAACGTAAAATGTGATTATTTTTAGTAGTCGACGAACAAAATAGTATTATCACTAAAATTAGAACATTGAAACGTTGTGCAAAATTTTCACTTTTCTATAGATACTTCCACGGAAAATGTTCTTCAGGAATCTCTGCTATCATTCTATCACTAGCAATGCCAGTCACAAAAAAAACTCGACAAGCCCAGTCCGCACACCCCTTCGTCGACCAGCCTCGTGATATGTCGAACAAATCTTTACTGAAACTCTTTTGCCTTCAGAACTGCAAAGCTTTCGAATTATTTGCCAGAGGAAGTATTCCCGTATTCCCAAGAACTTATAATCTCCAAAGGAGCCGGGATTGGCGCAGTGGAAGAGCGTCCGTCTCACGACCGCAAGGTCGTGGGTTCGATTTCCAGCACGGGCAAGGAACTTTTTTCAATATTTTATTTACGAATTAAATATTGTAAAGTTTCGGAGCATCGGCTGGGGATAGTCCTGCACGATTCGCTGTTGCGTTCCAATTAACAGTGCTGCTCCTAAAGTGGCGCATGGAGTTAGTAACAAAGCCTACACAGAACACGCAGAAAGATATGATGATGTGGTTGTGAGCATCAGAGAAGAAGTAGGACGGTGTATGTAGGTGGGTGTGGAAAACTACCAGCTGAGCGTGAGAGCGGGCCAGCTGCTTAAGTAGACCTCGGTCTCGGGGGTTAACGATGATAGTTAGCAGGCCTGCCACTGCGCATATGGTAGTGAGTACATTACTAGCCTACGTGTATGTAGGTGGGTGTGGAAAACTACCAGCTGAGCGTGAGAGCGGGCCAGCTGCTTAAGTAGACCTCGGTCTCGGGGGTTAACGATGATAGTTAGCAGGCCTGCCACTGCGCATATGGTAGTGAGTACATTACTAGCCTACAAAACACAGCTGAAAAACTCTGAAAAGAGAGCTGATGGGCGGTGCCTGAAAAGGATGTTAGCCAGCTCTCTTGAGCGAACCACATCAGTCATTGAAAACACTTGGGGTTGGCAAAAAGGTCCCATTGGGGACTAGTTGCTGACGTGGAAACGTCCCCCGCCAGTACCAGTACCAGTATAATCTCCAAAAGTTGAAAATATTCCAATACCTACCTCCTCTCCATATCCTCCCTAGGTAAGCATGATGTTCTTGGAACATTACAGGAATTCCCTTTCGTGCGCCCCAAGAGATAAAGAAAATGCAAAATTGACAATGACATAGGGTGAACACAAAATGATGGATTATTTGGAATTTGAGTAAAATTGGAACGAATTTGGAGAAAAAATGATATGTTTCACATGGCAGAAAAGAAGATTCAATCTTTTGCATTTCTGCCCAGTAAAGGGAAATAATAGCTATTTTTTTACTGAACCAGGCCAATTCGAGTCATTCAAAGTTTTCACGTTAGTCTCATTAGACCCCAAACCGGCTGAGATAACATCGTTGTGGACTTGAAAACGATCACCCTGTACAAACTGTGCCAAGTTGGACGCCATTAAAGGGGATGTTTTTGCTTTAAAGCAGATACAACGTAAATGTGAAAAAACTTTACATACGATAACATTTCCACAAAACTTTTAAAAATAACTAAAATTCTCGTAAAATAATACAGGGTGTTTCAAGTATCTGGAGAACAGAATGACAAATCATTCCAAAAATTTGTGAGCGTGGATAATGAAACATGCTCTATCCGTCTAAAATAATTTCACTTGTATGTTGCTAGTTGTATTAGAAAGTAGTAGCTACTTTGTTATTTCAAATGTATTATATCAGGAGTATTTCACTTGGACAAGCTGCTGTGTTAGCAAAACACGTTGTTATTCTGAGAATTCGGTGGAAACCTTGTCGTTTTTCAAGTTTTTAATATTCACTATGGATTTCCATCAAGTTACGACCGAGCCAATATAAAAAAAGACGTAGTCTGATTTTAGAACCGGAGGATCAATTTCTATAGTCAATACTTTGAAAATGTTCTCAAGAAAACATAGAAATTTAGACATTAATTATAGTTTCATCAACTTTTTGAAAACTTACATACCAGGTGTCGCAAGTTATCGTATATAGGCAATATCTCGCTTATTTGACAAGAAAATCAGACATTGTAAGAGCTGCTTTGAATGGCATCTGAGCACCTTCCTAATGACTCATGAACAAAGGGATTACATTTGACAGTCCTTTGGTTGCTACTCTCCACTTTTAATTTTCAAATGGCATACCCTATATTCCATTCCATAATCAGTTAGGGATTATCATAACAAATTCAACGATACCGAATTTGATAGGATTTTTTGAACGATTACGGAGATATTCGTGTTTGAAGTTTCCATATGCCCAATGGGTGTGATGGAACTTCTTTCTCTGTCACAGTCATTGAACATATGAAAATTTTTAACGCGAATATCTCCATAATCTCTCATTGACTAATTTTAACATTTAACAATTAATACATTGTTTACCTGTAATCATTTTAGTTACAATAATTTCTTATTGCTCAATATTAGTTAGGTCATACAGTTTAGTACTTTCACTTGTCACGCGGCCATTATGTCATGTTATTCTGTCATGTCATCCTATCATGTCATTCTGCACTTTCTGATGTTTCACCTATTCTTTGCTTTTGGCTTTTGTCAAATGGCCTCCAGTGATGATGAAACTCTTGTTGAGTGAATTTTGATTTATAATTTCAAATTTTTAATTCCTGATATTACCGATGTTGAATTGCATTATTGATTTGTTCTTTTGTCTATAAGGTACACCGGGGTAAGTGGAACCACAAATTTCAATAGCTCCGCTATAAACTGAATACAAATAATAATGATAATAATCGGTCATTCTGGTTGCAATCACGTCAGCTTACTGATGAATAATTATTCAAAGGATCCGGTATTGTACAACGAGATAAGTGCTCCACCATGTCTGGAAGAAACATGACTTTGCATTTGAAAATCACGAATATTTAATGAACGATTCAACAGGGGCAAGTGGAACCTAACATAGGTTACACGTGGTTACACTTTCCCCTAAAAAAAAAAAAAAAATTGTTCTATCCGTCATTCGGTTACCCCCTTACGAGCAACCCTCAGAAGTCTTCGAAAGTCTTGTGAGAGCAAGGAATGACGGGGGCCTTACCTTTTTAACGTGTGATCCCAAACACTTTCTTAGGCCATCAGAAAAAGTCTGCGTTCGTGGGACTCGAACCCACGATCGATACCTCGACGTGAATCGATATTGAAGCATCGAAGCACTGAGGTACGCCGGCCCTATACGTTATTTTCAAGGGGCAAGTGTAGCCTATGTCTTTTCCTCCATGTGAACAAATATACGTCCTTCATACCCTCAAAATACAAAGTAGTATTGTTTTTGAGCTACCCACTTCAAAAACTTTGAATATATTCAGAAATTTTTGAAGCTCATGTACACTAGGGTCCCTTGATGAAAATTGACGTTAAAGTCATCTTAACAGGGTACGGACAGATCATAGCTGCATTCTTTTTTAATGATCTAGAGACTTTAGTTTTGTCTACTGGCATCCCTGACATTGCTGTCACGTCACCTCCATGGGCGCTACAGAAAATCATTCAAAATTTCAATAATAGGTATGTACAGGGTGTTTACTTGTTGAAGATCATATGGCGAACGAGTTTTGTAATTATAATCCGATTCTATTCAAAATTGGAAGATATCTGGGATTTTCCGGGGTTGGAGATAATGATTGTTTCGTCAAACTTGGAAAATTCAAGATGACCAATCCAATATACAGGCTGATTCACGGTGGATGGCACATTAGACGTTCCTGGAAAACGCAACTCAGGATTATTCTGAAAAGTTGGTGCCTTGAATAATTAGTTGTGTTCTATCGACCTGAAATATTCTCAGCGCTGCCACCGTGAATCAGCCCGTATAGCGAAAGAAATTTCTATTTATGATCTGATTCTATTTAATATTGGTATCTGGGGGTTTCCGGGGTAGGAGGTAATGATCGTTTCGTCAAAATTGGAAAATTCAAGATGGCGGATTCGATATGGCGAAAGACATTAGTTTATATGATTATTACTCTACCACAAATAAAAAATATGTAGGATGCAAGAGTGAAAATAACGTGAGTATAAGTTATACTGCGTATACCTACATCTTTGTTACTTTCATCAATCAATTGTTCGAAAATGACTTTTAATTTGAGGGGGACGGAAAAATCATATGTATAACATGGGGGTAAATTATGTTCTATTCTTTATTTTCCTGCATATTTTACGTATTACTTTTTATCAGCCTACTTTTCGTCCTAGACAAAGTTTTATACATGATATACGTGATATTAGTCACTCCATAAATTCTTCACCGAGCTGGATTTCCAAAAATATATTGAGCACACATGAATAGGTACAGTAGTTTCGGTTTCCATCATTTCTCAATCATAAGGCTCAGCTCATTAAGCTAATAGATAAACTTCTGCTCAGCTTGAAATCAGAATTCATTCAGTCAATTCAGTCAACCCTAGTATACAGTCTAAGAACAGTCTCTCTTAGTGAAATATATTGAGCTTTCAGTACAATTTATATGTTCCCTACCCCGCAAAGATTATTCTGGAGTAGTAAAGTCTAAATCTAGAGGACTGTTCATCTATATCTTGGTATAGTTGAATCGGGAATTCCATATGAAAACTACGTATGATACGCCAGTGACCTCAATATAACCTAAATAACAACGAATGTCAAAAATCTAGTGTTTTTCCCTAGAATTGAATAAGGATGGAACTATATAACTGTTTCACAAACACTTTAGAGTGAGAGGAGACGAGGATCTGTCCGTACCCTGTTAGGATGACTTTAACGTCAATTTCCATCAAGGGACCCTAATGTACACTAACAACGAACACGTGCTAGCTCGGTATGCGACGTAAACGGACACTATTTGAAATATCGGCAAGTTCGAACCGTCATTCTTGGGTTGGTAGCTTGATATATCACAGAGCATTCAGTGGATATGGGTAGGTTCATTACGCCATAGACAGAGCCACCTTACAGACAAAAATGTAATGATATCCAGCCTGGGTTCCACTTGCCCCAAACTTATCTCCACATGACTCCTAAGGTGAGATTTTTCCTCAGTCATTCATTGTCTGTTTGTAATTTGTAATCTTCACAGGTATTTTTGTGTCTGAAGATGGCCGTTTAGGCGAAACTAGTCACAAACATGATTGGTCAATATAATTTTTGTGGTCGGCCGACTTTGTATTTTACTCTTTTCTCTTTGGAGAGGAAAAAACTCCGTGATCGTTTGAAATAACCCTATCAAACCCGTTATCGTTAAAATCGTTATGATAATCACAAACCAATTATGGAATAAAATACAGGGTGTGCCATTTGCAAATAAAAAGTGAAGATAGTTGCTACTACAGGGCTGTCCAATGTGATCCTTTTTTTCATGAGTCATTGGAAAGGTGCTTTGATGCCATTCAAAGCAGTTTTTTCATTCTCTGATTATCTTGTCAAATAAGCGAGATATTGCCTGTATACGATAACTTGGGACACCCGGTATTAGAAAAATACGTTTCAACTCTGAGTTTGTCATAAAAATTGACCCTCAGATGTATCTATCTAGTTGGAAAACAGTTTTTTTTTGCCCAATTTTACCACTCTTTATATAAATACAAACATTATATCATTTCCTCGGAGGAATCCATCAGGTCGGATCCATCAAAGTTTTGGTCATTTATTCACAGCAAAAAGGGGACCTCCAGAATTCCTAGTATAATAATATCTAAATGATACCGAATATAATGATCCTTTAACAATTGTAAATGCCTTTGCTGATTTCTTTGGTAGTGTTTATGCCAAAAGGAGTGGTGGAAAAAAAAACTGAAAGTTTCCAGTCTGACCTCTGAAAAGTTATCACCAAATTGGTACGGCGACATGGTTGTTTGAAACACTTGCAGGTCACTGATGATGATGATCAAAACCATCTCAAAATGTGTCTTACAGTCACAGAACATGCTATGCCAGAAATTATGAAAATCGATTCCGGCCTACTCTTCTTATGAGCAAAATTAATTTTATCCAAAAAAACTTCAATGCCTTGTAACAAGTCAATGAGACGATTTTGGATACAGGTTAGTTGGCTTAAATCAACTTATTTTTATCCGAGAAGTCCACAGCCGAGCCCTATCCCAACCTTTTACAGACACCCTGTATATTCAACATATAGTCAGAGTCTAAGAATAGATTATTCATGAAATATGTTGCATTCAAAATTGATGGGATATACCCTGAACAGGGTATAGACAATTCTTCACTGCTGAATAGATTTTCGTTATTCTCTCTGAAGACCGAAGAAAGTATTACTTATGTATATTTATCATAATCTTGTGGAATAACCGAAAAGAAACATGTTTTTATCTAACAACACCAAGATCAAATGTTATAGCCAAGTCTCCCGTATACCGAATCTGTAAGAATTTTAATAATATCTGTGATCAAATAGATCTATTTTCAGAAAATGTTTAAGAAATACTCTCCCCAGAATTGAGATGTAGATTTATATTCAATTTTAACAAATTACTTATCATTCTTGTGCTAAGTGTGCTGTGTTGATTATATTGCTTTTCCTGTAATTGGGTGTATACCTGTTTGGACAATAATCGTTTTTTTTTTATATAAATAAAAATCAAACTGACCGAAATTTGTTGGTATGGTGACCACAGTAGCTAGATGCGAGAGCAACTTTATCCACTTCTGTAACATTTTGGACATTACTGGACCTGAGGGAACTATAACTATCACTGGATTTCCTGGAAGCCTCTTTGGTTTATCCTGTATTAAGGTAGATATAACGGGGTCCCAGTTTCTTTCTAATAGAGGCATCAAATTTGTATTGTTCAGTGGACCCATTCGGGTTGAAGAATTTGGACCACACATCATCTTGTCCACAAATAAAGGTAATTTGGATTTCAGGGTCTGAAAAAAATATAACAATTAGATATACAGGGTGTTTAAAAAACTAAACGCCATGCTAGAGTATGTTTAGTTTCATTACATGGTTTAGTATAACTATTTATTTTCTTTAATAATTATTAGTGATATGACTTGAGAGTTGCATTAATTTACATTGAATTAAATAAGGTGAATGCTTGAGTGGGTAGCGACACTTATATAAATTATTTCGCGCTTATTGAAAGGCAGAATTCAATAGTGGCTCTGGATGCTGCTGCCCTCTTTTCGGCTGACACTTGCACTGAAAACGTGAGGTGTATGTGCGCATCGCGCGAGCGAATTAATTAATGAGACGCTACGCGACACACAACGCAGAAATATAGAAAAAAACATATAGGTACCGAATACCTTTGCCGGTAATAAGAAAAGGTGCTTCAATAGAACCTCTAAAATTGCGATAAGTGACTAAATTCGTGAAAACAAGAAGATCCTACCAGTGGAGCGACACCTAAGAAACTAAAGTTGGGTAAATCACGTTATTTTCTGCCAATCAAACGACAATAAAAATATTACAGTCCACGCTCAATTCAACAGAGTAGGTAGAACATCGCAAAATAATTAAGGTTTGCTCAGTAAAAAAAATTCGTAACGCCATCTGTTTTCAAGATACAAGGTGTTGAAAAAATATTTTTTTACACATTTTTTACGATTATGTTGAAACTACTGGCAACATTGTAATGAGATTTTGTTTGGATGTGTTGAAAGCTGACACATCGCATGAATTTGTTTTTATATCTGACAATCATAGAGGGCGCTAGTTAAACGAATCGTACCGAGTACTTTTAGACATAACTTTTTTGAGGTTAGATTTTTCAGTCCAAATTCAATGTGAACTTGAACACCATTCAATGTTACGAAGGCCTGGAAGGGACACATAATATAAAAAAAATATAAACTCTTCAAAATTCTGAGTTATATCTCGGAATTTTAAAATTCCGTGTGAATGGGGTGCGAAGAAAGGCTCAGTTGACGACTGGCATCCTTTTTTAACCGGAAGCCCTTCAAGAAACAGCAAAATCGGCTCAATGATGATCTAAAACTAAAATCGAAATGCGCGGTCGCCTTATAGCGCTATAAGCGCTTGTCGTTTCGAGCCGCTGGTTAGGCCTCACTAAGTGACGTCACCCACGGAGCATGCAGGCCTTGTTGTATCGGTGGTAACGACACTACTGGTGTGATGAAAATGCACATGTTAAAAGGGTATCACATTACTAACACTGGTTTGAAGTTAATGTTAGGGTAGCAACTGTCGGTAACAATTTTATTGGTTATCACATTCTAATAAATAGATATTTTTTTATAATACTTATTCTAATACCAGAATCAGATTTATTGCTTCAGCATTTTCATATCGAAATATTTCGATAACGGTACACAGTATCGAGTTCTTCCAAGAGCATCATTTTGGTGTAAAATTGAATGGTGTTCAAGTTAACATTGAATTTGGACTGAAAAATCTAACCTCAAAACAGTTGTGTTCGAAAGTACTCGGTACGAACCGTGTAACGCCCTCTATGACTGTCAGATATAGAAACAAATTCATGCGGTGTTTCAGCTTTCAGAACATATCCATTCAAAATTTCATCACAATGTTGCCAGTAGTTTCGACATAATCGTAAAAAATGTTGAAAAAAAAATATTTTTTCATCACCTTGTATCTTGAAAACGGATGCCGATACGACATTTTTTCACTGAGCAAACCCAACCTATTTTGCAATGTTCTACCTACCCCAGCAAGGTGGTTGGGTTTTTTTTTTGAAACACCCTGTTCAGTATATGATCGAATATAATTCATATTACAAAATATATGTTGAAAAAAACAGGTCGATTTTCATTTCCAGAAAATCTATTTTTCTACATAATAGTTATCAACCAGCTGTCAACTTCATGCTCTATAAATCAAGCCCTTCAAAAATTGTTAATTGCAAGAGCTCAAGTTACACCAAATGGTGTTTCTTGAGGTTTAATTGATCATTCTAGAACACGTGATTTTGACATGGTTTCTTGAGGGACACACAAACTATCTGTTAGAGGTTACCTTTGATGAGCATAGCCCTGGCCATCCCTACCACATCTACAATATAATAACAGTTTCACCATACAAAATTATGGAATTCTTTCTGGTTTCAACTCGGATTCCAAGAAAAAAGAACCCACTCATTCTGGTTTTATATGACATATATTGACAAAATACAATGTTTGCCCCTCAGCAACCTGTCAAATGACGTAATTCTGGAATGATTAATTTCATTCTCTAAATACGGCATGTCTCACTTTAAATGGATATTTCAGTTATAAGTCATGCGATTCTTACCAGATCTGGATTGGTATGAATAACTATCATTCTGATCAGTTTTTCTGAGATAAACGTAATTTTGGACAGCGCCGTTCGTTTTTATTGAAATAAGGTCGATTTTTTATAAATTTATACAAGGCATTTTTTACAGAAAATCTAACCTGATTCAATTTGATTGATTTCAATGAGAGGTTTAAAAAAACTGGCACATATAAACAGCATTCTTGCGAACGTAAAAAAATTGTTCTAAAATTGTTCGTATCCATCATTCGGTTGTCCCCTTACGAGCAACCCTCAGAAGTATTCAAGAGACTTGTGCGAGCAAGGAATGACGGAAGTCTTACTTTTAAACGTGTGATCCCAAACACTTTCTTAGGCCATCAGAAAAATTTCTGCGGTGGATAGATGGTGAAGAATCATTTACTTGGAAAAGGTGAGTTCAACAAAACAAATATATCTTGTTTTTTTCTTTCAAAATATAATTTTCTACCTACCGGAGCCATCGAACGTTCTAGCATTTGGACTTCATTTGAATTTATGATAGTGCAGGGCTGTCCCAGATAGCTTCTTGACTGCTATCTGGTGCGAACCTGACCCAACGTAAATGCATCTCAGCATGCTGAGATTCGTTTACTGCACCGATGAGAACCAACAGCTCAAAACGGGTTTGCAGGTAGTCACGCGCTCCTGAACCACTTAGGCGCAGCTCGGCGTTTAGGAAGGAAACACTTGCGATTTTATTCGTCTGTACGAATTATTGCATAGCTTTCGGGAGAATGTAATCCAATTTTCTGTGTGGCATATAGCCAGGAAAGTAGTTGTTTTTCTCTCGTTATCTACCATTTTCGTTCATTTTATGAACTATTGTGGTAATGACTTTGATTTCCTCTCTGTTTGTATTTTATTAATGTTGAAGAGATGTTGTTTTCACCTCCAACAGTTCTATTTTTTAGGGAGTTCATGACTTAAAGGTTTTCTGAATCAGAAATTGGCGAGGAAATTGGTGAAAGAAATAAAGAATTTACCCTTGGTTCATCATTCATTTCAATATTTTGCGAATTCAATGGCTTGATCATTTTCCGTGCTAGGTTATTACCAATAGAAATGAAGAATTAATTGAATTCATTTGCTATATCATGGAGTTTGCATATTTCTGAACCTTGTTTATTTGTCATTGATTCAATTTGCGATTTTTCGAGTGATTCATTTGTAGCCTCCTTTATGATCTCCCATAGTTTTTCGTTTATTTTCAAGACCGTCAATTTCACTTTTATCTTCCATCTTCATGGAGTTTGCATATTTCTGAACCTTGTTTATTTGTCATTGATTCAATTTGCGATTTTTCGAGTGATTCATTTGTAGCCTCCTTTATGATCTCCCATAGTTTTTCGTTTATTTTCAAGACCGTCAATTTCACTTTTATCTTCCACATTTTTCTTTACATCAATCATTTATTCAAGGTGTTTCTATATCCTTATAGCTATTAATTGCTTCTTGCTTATTTGGTGCATGGTAGAAATCTTCTTTAATGAATTATTCGACAAAAAAATCCATGTGTCAACCATGGTTTGATGCTCGGTTTGATGCGTTGCTTATTTGAGATTTAAATTTTTGAAGTTGAGGATTCCTTATGGTTTCTCAGTGTTTCAATAAAAACATTTGTTGCAAGGTTAGCATCATTGCATGTTAAAACAGACTCCCACTCCTCTCCATCTAGTAAAGTTTTCAATTTATGATTTTCTACCTTCATAACCTGTTCAAACCATCTGAGTTATGTTTCAATTGGATATTCAACAATATTGGATATTGATCAGTGAGATAACTGTTTGTTGCTTGCTACATTTGCGTTATTACTGTTAACAAAGTAGTGGTCAATAAGTACATGTTTTTGAGTTTTTATCTACTCTCGTAGTCGTAGGTTTATTAATATTAGATTCATAACATGCTCAGAACATTCAGATATTCATTGACTTGGGGTTGTTCTGTATCTAAGATATCAATATCAATATCACCAGCAAATAGCTCATATTTACATTTGTTCATTGTAGAACATTTCATATCTGCTGATTCCAAAGTTTTTTATATATTAAATGTGTCTCAGACATAATTATACCCTCGATTATACCTAATGTCAAAAACTGTACACAAGTTCTCTATGAATATTATGAAATCATCAAAAATTTTCCCTAAGTGAGGTTAACTGTTTTGTTCCCGTTTGGCTTCATCTGAGTTGATCTGCTCTCTAATTGGAGTTCTCATCAAGGGTCAAAGGTTTAAAACTATAAATATATGATGGTTTAGAAGGCAGGTTTTGTTTTATGGGTGCCATATTGGCTTCTCATACCATTGAATAGCTAAAAATTCCCTTCACAGCCATGTTTAACACACAAATCTTTTGTTGAATAATCAATACCTACCTATAACTATCATTGAAGGTTTTTATTTATTGTTAGGCTTGAAGGTCTGGACTTGAGTTTTACTTTCCTCATGTTTTTATGATAGAATTAAATATTTATCAAAGTTCATTGATTCTTTCTTGATATTTTATGAGTTTGTTTTTCATTCACTGTATTGAATAATACTGTTGCTGAAAACTGTGTCTCAGTGATCCTGACAACATTTGTTAATATACATTTACTTATAGAATAGAATAGAATAGAACTTTATTTACGGTTATCCATTGCATACATTATAATCACAAATATTATTACAAGATGGGAAAAATATATATATATATAAAATATATACCTATGTAAATATTCAACAAATACAAATAAACATAAATAACAAGAGAATATCCTAAATCAGTATGAATCTATCACAGTTATCACTCACAGTTCACAGTTGCTATATATCCTAGATCATTATGAATCTATATCACAGTAATCAAACACAGCTGCTTATAAAGGGGTACTATTAATGGTAATCAATGACTTCTTGAATAACTGAAACGAATTACTGAAAATGTCGAAATGTATACAATTATTATTGTATTCCCTTGGTATCCTTGAGAGAGGGCTATGCATGCCATAATTTGTGGAATGATGGTTAATGTAAAATAGTGCTTTGCTTCTAGTCCTACTGTTTGTACTTAGCTGAATTTCGGATACAAGTTCGGGACAGTCAATGATAGCATTCAACAATTTATATAAAAAGAGCAAGTCTGTGTTGAACCTACGTTTTTCTAAAGTTTCCAAACCTATGCTATTTTGAATGTTGTCATAATCATGATTCCAATTCATTCCCAGTCTGAATGCATAATGCCTGAGGAATTTTCTCTGTATTCCTTCAATTGTCCCGATATCAACACTGTAGTTAGGACACCATATCACAGAAGCATATTCTAAGCCTGCCCTAACAAGTGCACAGTATAATAATTTTAAACTATTAACTGACATATCCTTTGTGTTTCTCATAACAAATCCAAGATTTCTATAGCCAATAGTAGCTACTTTCAAAATATGTTGTTTAAAGGTCATTATATTATCAATCAAAATGCCTAAGTCTTTGATTTCAGCAATGCGAAGCAACGATTCATCTTTTATTTTATAATCAAATGTAAGTGGATAGTTGGATCTAGAGAATGTTATACAGAAACACTTGTTGACGTTCAGACACAGTGGATTAAGATCAGCCCAATTACAAAAATTTTCAATGTCATTCTGAAGCTCATTGCAATGATTGATATTTGATATTGTTTTGTAGATTTTTACATCGTCAGCAAACACCAAATATTTTGAATTTTGTAACACTTCATTTAAATCATTGACAAACAGGCTGAACAGAATTGGACCACAATGGGAACCTTGAGGGACGCCAGAAAAAACCTCAATAGCATTTGAAATGAAGTTATTAATTCTAACACATTGAACTCTTTCAATCAGAAAGCTATTTATCCATGTTAGGGCTTGACTGCCAATTCCAAGTGCTTTCAACTTGGCATGCAATTAATAATGTGTGTTCAACTCTATCAAAAGCTTTCATGAAATCAGTGTATACACTATCAACCTGAACACGATTTTCAAATGCATTTAAAATATAAGATTGATATATCATCAAATTTGTAACTGTCAATCTTCCCGAGTGGAAGCCATGCTGTTCTGGAATATTGATATGTCTAGAGTACCACTTTAGCTGTATGGAAATGAGTTCATCAAACAATTTGGGTATCTCAAATATTCAATATGATTCAAGATTCCATTCAAGAAATGTGGAAATCATTAGGTATCTGATTTCCAAGGTAAGTTAATTTTAGGTAATAGGTAGTATCTTGATGATCCATCAAAAATGTTGTATTCTTGGGTTTCTGTGTCTTTTTTTCATCTTACCATAATAATGTAGTATGTTATACATAGTTATGAATTGTGAGTTTGGCATGTATTATTGTACATGTGTCATACATTGCTGTGAAGAGAATCTTTAGCTTCATTCAATGATATGAAATCCTGATAGAAAATCTAAAGTTGCATCTCTGAAACTAATGAAAATAGAATTGGAAAATATGATACTTTTCACAATTTTCCCTTGAATATTAACCAACAAAATAAATGAGAACCAAATCAGTGATTCTCAATTATTTTTTTCAATATCTCAGGTATGGCTGAAGTTTTTCAAATTGTGAAATTTCATATTGAAAAGGATTGAATGATGCAAAATTTCCTCAAATGTAATCACTTTTCTAGGGCTGAAGTCATTTCAAATTGTGAAATTTCATACTGAAAAGGATTAAATGATGCAAATTATCTCAAATTTGATCTTCTGCCTATCTCTTAATGTTTAGGAAATAGCAATACTGTTAAATCAGCAGGATCTTGTATACTGGCAGGAACTCTTTTAGATTACAGTGGGCAGTGAAGTGATGTTTTTCCACTAATTTCTAGTAGACTAACATTCAACTTTCTTTGCCAGTAGGATACATAATTTGGAAAAATTAATTCCTGTTGTATGTATTTCAGCATAACTTGCATTTATGAACTTAGGCACATTTATAGCCCTGGCCATTGTCAGGACTCTTTAGGCTCTTACTTACCTGCTGGGGTCCATGAAAGCCTACTTTATGCTCTTGTTCATGCCCTTGATACATAAATAACTATTATGTACAATAAAGTTTATTCTCTTATTCTTCAACTTATTGGTAATAAAAGCACAAATAGCATACCTGTAGAATATCTAGGTAACAAGCTAGATAGTGAGAGTCAAGATTATCAATCAGTAATTGATGTAACCATTGTGTGATTTTTGGATCCCATGATACAGAGGCAAGTAGACGTCTCACTCTTTGCACAGCTTTGTCAATAACAGTTCGTCTCAGCAATGGCTCATTATGGACTCCTATCTGAGTTAGTTTAGCTAGACTATAACTGTTTAATATATTAATGATAGCATTAAACACTCTATGTTGGGCATTTGTCCAGTTCAATCTGTAAACATCAAATGAATCAGAATACATCTAGAGAATCTTGAATACCCATCACTCACTTTGAAATTTTCTCTTCCCAGTCTCCATCATCATCAACCCTTATGGAAAATGCATGTTTTTCACATTCTTCCATCATATTCCTAGCTTTGTGAATATCATACAAAGGAGTAGATAGTTCTGGTCCTGTAGTAACATCTATTAAATCTTCCTGATCAGAATGAGTTGGTTTACGTTTCTCTGGTATCAACCTAGGTACAAATAAGGACTTAGTAGGTCTTAAAAAACTAGCTTCTGGCCTCCAGTTCCAAGGACGGGCATAACAGTGATCAGTTGATACAGTCCAGTTTTCTCTATCAAATGAATTTGTCAGTTGTGTTGGGTAGGTGTATTTAGATGTTTCTTCCACTATGTTCTTGTTAGCACTAGCACTGCTACTTGGTAATGCAAAATTGAACTCTTCAGAGATTCGATTAAGAGAAGCCTGATGATCTGTTGTATGCTAAAATATAATTAAAATTAATCAAACATAAATTGGAAGGTTTGAGCATGAACCAACCATTGTTGAAAATCGTCCAGGCTGTTCACTAATGACATCAACTTCTTCGGACATTTCGGATTCGGAAACAAATTGTTTATTTGTGGCTTGATGTATTATTCTCCTTTATTTATTTCTTATATTTATTAGGTTTGAGTATATAGTCTCTGTTGATATCTGTTTGTTGTTTTTTTGTGTTTGTTTTATGTTTTAACTTTGTTGTCCTTCTTCTTCTTCTTCTTCTTTTTTTAGGCTTCTTGGTTTTCTGATTCCTTGCGGTATCAATTCCACCAGATCCGGTATTTTTGTACTTCAGTGGTTATTTTTGAGATTTTAGGATTCATTTATGGTAGGTATATTGTTAGTTCCCATTTTTAGTAGGGTAGAGGTTTTATAACATATAGGAATGATTCAATTCTAAACTTTTCCCATGAAAATCTATGACAACACATCACAATCTACAAACAAATAACATTTACAATAACATATACTTAAAAGAATACTAGTATATTAAAGTTAAGATTATATATTTATATTTTAGTTTTTGTCTTTTCAATAAATTTACTCAATATATTGATTTTTTCTGAGTTTAATTCGCTCAATAAAACTTGGTACGAAAAAGGTGGAAGCAATTTCATGTCCAACAATTTGGTGTAGAGATTATTAATATTATCTATAATATATGTGCATTCGAAAAAGAAGTGATTAATATTTCCCTCCTTTCCACATTCACATAAATTTGTGTCCTTAATTTTAATTTTGTATAGATGAAAGGGAAGACTACAGTGCCCTATTCTGAGTCTGCTAATGGCTGTATGTATTTTTCGTGGTAATAAAGGAAAAAGACAAAACCATGGTTTATCTTGAATTCTGGGTTGTATATCTTTATAGTGCCTGGCTTTAATTGTCGAGGAATTATCCCAATATTGTTGAAATTCAGTTTTTGAAATATTCTTTATATATGGTATCAAGTCCATATATTGTATTTTATTATTACTGCAAGGAATGCTGGCTGATTTTGCTATATTATCAGCTTTATCATTTCCATGAATGTTACTATGTCCCGGTATCCAACACAATTTTATATTGAAGTTATTATTGTTTAATTCAAACCATAGTTCTCTTATTTTCATGATCATGTTATTCATGTTTATTTTTAATTGCATATTTTGTAGTCCTGTCACTGCACTTTTGGAGTCTGTAAGAATTATATATCTACCAGGTTCATTATGTATCAATACTAGGGCAAAATATATAGCATATAATTCTGCTGTAAGTATAGATGAATTATGATTAATAATCCCACTTTTAGATAGATTTTTGTGAGGAATATATATTCCGAATGAAACTTTTTCATTTGTTTTGGATCCATCTGTATAAATTGTCATATGGTCAGGCCATTTTTCTTGTATGATGTCTAATAATCTTGAGTTGTTATTTAAATATAATTTATCTGATTTTCCAATACCAATTTCTTCTTTTATTTCAAATTTTTCAAAGTGACTTTTTAAGGGGATTTTGACTGATATTAATAGGCAATTGATTGGACTCCACTAATATCGCATTAGTAGGAGTGGAATTCATCAAACCTAAACATATTCTGATGGATTTATATTGAGTACTGGAAATCTTTTTCATATTGGTTTTACTTGTATTACCATAAATTACTATGCCATATTCTATTCTTGATGATATCAGTGCACTATGTATATTCAACATTATTTTTGGGTCTGCTCCCCAACCAATGTCGGCTAAATGAAAAAGGAATCTAGTCAGCTCTGGCCCTCTACATGTCAGTCCAATTAAGCGTTTCAGTGTTTGACTGTTAGAGGGCGCCACCAGCCCGCATTAACGGAGACCTCATTTGTTTCATGACATTTTACAATAGGTCGCGTGCACGAAGACCGACCCTGGAGGCAAAATATTGAAACACAACCTCATTCTTCTGTGAATTACTGAAACACAACCTCACTTTTTCATTTGGTTACAGAGGAATCAAAAGATTGAAATAGTTTTTCACAATATTTTGGCATACGAATCGTGTTTCTTGCGTTATTCATTAATCCAAGCATGCCTTCGCATTGTGCTGTTGTACAATAATGCACAAAAAATGCAGCAAGAGACTAGGGAATATGATTTTTCAGGTAAATAGTAATCTCACATAGTTAGCATTATGAAATGTTGTCATTCCTCATCAAAATTCCTTCTGCCTTCTGCCACTTCTGCAATACAAGCTAATGCTGCTAATAGATTGAAAATGTCTACAACACACACGATCGTCAGCATGTCAGACCAGTCCTACCGATTGATTGCATGAATCCAATCTTGTTGCATTATTCTAGAAATTTCAGGTATATTTCTATTAGCTGATCCTATTGCAGAAGGAATTCCGATGAGAAATCAGAGAAATAACCAAATTTCAAAAATGAAAACTATGTGAGTGACTATAGTAGGTACTTACTTTTAAATCCTAATGTACCATCCGGATTTCTTCATCTTCCGCTGCAGTTTTTGTGCATTTTACAACAGCACAATGTGATGGCATTAGCGAATTGATGAATAGCGAAAAAATAAACAAATATGTTTTGCCTCCAGGGTCGGTCATCTGACAGTTCTTGCACGCGACCTATTGTTTTGATGTATTTCAGGTTAGAGTGGTCTGACATCATACGTCAACTGTGCGTCACGTATTCGTTTGGTCTCGTCCACTGGTTTTCCTCTGCCTTTTTTGAATTCAAATCTGCATTTTATTTTATTTTCTTATAGTGTTTGGTGTTGTGTTTCTAGTTCATTTGCCTTTTTGTCGTTGTTTCTTTCTCGTGTTTCCTAGCTTTGTCTAGATCGTAGTTTTCGTTAGTAATTAGTAGTATAATATAGTAGCAATTAGTAGTTTTTGTTTGATTGAATTGTTGTTGAATTATAGTTTGTAGTTATAATACTGTGTAGATAGTTGTGTAGTGTAAGTAGTTCCAATTCTAGTTTCTTTATTTCTACTGTTTTTTTCTATTTCCTTCATTTCTTCATCCCATTCCCCAATATGCCACTAATAATTTGTGCTGTGCCATTTTGTATGTCCAGGAAAAGTGATGGGATTTCTTTACATGAATTTCCTAGCAACTCCAGTTTGCGACAAAAATGGTTGACTTCAATTCTAGAAGGCATGGGTAAGGTATACTAGATTTGTTGAAGGACATTTTGTGATAACATATATTCATTTTAGCACTAGAACATTTTGAAATTGGTGAGAATTCTGGCATTTGTATTAAACATTTTGAGGAAAACTGTGTGAAAACTTATAAGGATGGGAGAAAATTCCTTAAAAAAGGATCAGTACCAACAATTTTTGCGGTAAGTAAGTGTACTCAGGTAGATCAGATTTATTAATTCCTTTTGCTTGTGACATTAAAAAAAGGTTATTTCGCTCATACTTCTTGAGCAAGGATTGCTTATTCCAGTTCATATGGTATTCCTTCAATCAGTAGATCAGTATTATTCCTCAATAGATCAATCAATATGATGTTCTAACACAGATTAATGAATAATATGGGTGTAATATTTGTTCAGGTATGATACATAACTAATATGTTTATGTTTCAGCACCCTTCTGATGCCTGGATGATACCAACAACTTCTAGGGGAAAACCTTTTCAAACCACAGATTGGGCTTTTGCAAATGTAAGTACCTACACATACCTACTGCTATTCCAGTGTACATACATTTATCAAGTTTTTAATTGACTGTATAATCTGTAATTAGGTATATAATGCAACTTTTTGTCTGGAATCCTATTATGTAGATATACTCCCTACCTACTCAAACTAACATTAATGTTTCATCCTCTCAAATTAGGGAATAAATGAGAAATAAGTCTAAATAAGTAGTGAAATTGTGATATTATAATGTTGAAAGTTATTCTCATTATTATTATTGTAAAAATAATGTGCTTTGAAAATTCAATTCAGTATATGTATTTTTTATGATTTTTTTTCAGGCTAACCTTTATGAAAGTAGCAACCTCTTCAAGATATTAGAAGAATCATATGATTCTTCAGTGGTAATTATAAACTCTGTTCTCACTTTATTTATGGTGATGGCATGCACTACTCAACTTAGTCCCAACTTAATTTGGTGAATTTAAAATTACTTGAATTCATTTTTACATAATATTTACATATACATATTCCTTGATTAAAGAGAACCCCTAAGAAGTACATATCTGGGCTCTAACAATCTATGGTTACCTAAATCAATATTCACTATATCCCTTTATCCTATAGGCATATAACATACCAAAAGTTTCCTAAACAATTTCAGTCATGACAATTGTCATTCTATTATTAAGGTACATTTTTTTTTAAATACAGTTCAATTGAGAATTTTTTTTAGTCTATGTAGCAATGTATAACATACTTTGGTCATTATTCCTTTGAATATTTGGGAGGTATATATTATTATGTCATTTTGATTTTATTTATTAATCTTTATGAAGTTCAGTGAGATTTCTAAAAATTGATATTTGATTTCTGGTTACAAGTCGAAATCTTGTATACCTGTATGTTCACCTTTTTCAAATATCAAAATTCTTATTCTTTCTATTATAGACTATTGAGTTTTCTTTGGTGTTGATAAGCCAATATAGAAAAATATTTTTATGACCTTGTTTTGCAGTATTTTCGGAAATGTCCTTCAACCACATGTATATTTTTTTCTTCAGTAAGACTAAGTTAAGTTGTGCATGAATTCATCATCAGTTGCATCACAGACCTTAAATTTCACAAACTCAAAAATATACCCAACAGCAACAAATAATCATAATCATCATCATCATCATCTTTATTATTCCCAAGAAACAATTATACCTATATGTTTATAACAGGGAACACTAAAAAAATAAACCATAATGTATCACATTACATTCAAAATATAGTTTTTATAGGTATAATAATTATTCTAGTAATTCTCATAGTTTGAGTGAATGAATGATTGAGATAATTGATATGTTGTGATCTCAATATGGATGACATGACAAAATTCAGAGCAAAAAATAATTTTTTAGTTCTTTCTTGAATTTTTTGGTATCCATATTTTTTTTAAGTCTTCTTGGCAATTCATTGTGAAGTAATAATCCATTGTAATATATAGATCTCTTGCCAAATTCAGATTTGATTTTAATGAGGGAAAACATGTCTGTTTGTCTAGTTGAATATGAAGGTATATTAGCATTAATTTTAAAATTCAAATTGGAATGTTTCTAATTGTGTTTGACTGAATGAACAAATGTTAATATTTTTAATTTATATATTGATTGAAGATCTAATATTTGATTTCGTTTATAAAGGTTTTGTTGGTTCCAAATAATCCAATTTATTAGTAGTTCCATCCAATTTATTATAGTTTTATTCAACAGTAAATACTCTCCTGACTTATATCACAGGGAATTAATAAATGAACAAATATAAGCTGTTTTTTTATTCCACCACAGAAAAAAAATAGAAAATAATGTTCTGATGAGTAAGAATTTACTTTCTAGTACAGGAATTGAAAGAACATGCTGACTCTTGGACATAACTTTCCATATAGAATAAATTGATACAGTAGTTTGATGAATTTGAATAGAAAATAAATTAGTCCAACTTGAAATGATCAATCAATGAGTCTTCTCAAATCATTGAGTATCTGCCTATTGATTATCAATTTCTACACAATATTGATATTACTGAATTTGATGAGATGCATACTCTATTTATTGCTTCATTCAAAATCTAGAAATTTTCAATCCAATACACACCTTGTCCCAGCTAATATGTCCCATTCTGTACAAAATCAAATCAACCGCGCGATCGAATGACTTGAAATTTGGTTACCCAGTATATTCGTTAATGCTTTCTCTGAATATGCTATGGAATAAATCGTACGGTGGCACTGAAGTGCACCTAAACTTCCTTATTTGAATAGGGGCGGGACACCCAGTATATTATTCCACATTCAAGTAGCGCTCAATATTGCAAATTCAACAATGACTTTTCACAAGGGGGACATTTTAACTAGGACAAGGGTATATGTACTCGTAATTTTAATTTCTCATTTGATTCAAGAGCAATAGTGCAAATAATTCTAATTCTACTGGAGTACCATTATATATTCAAATCAGCTAACTCAACATACAGGGTAGGCAAATTTGGGCGTTTTCGGAAGCTATCTCAATAACTAAAGGAGTTACAGAGTGTCATTTTCCACCTATTTCTGTCTCTTGACAGTATTTTACAGAAATGTCAGTGATTACATAGCAGCTGGCGAGCAGTGTTATCACTGGAGATGGCCCCACTTGATCCTTGAGTGTATCATTGGTATCTCTCTCACAGTTGCAAATTTATGAATCCAACCTCAATGATTATTGCGGAACATAGGAAGGTGCAACCATTAAAAATGTGACACACTGAATATATTTCTGAAATTGTGGAAGAAAAAGGTAGAGTTATACATATATT